CACCCATGCCGTCGGAGTACAACACAAGTATCCGTGACATCAACACTGCACAAAATGCTCCAAATAAATTATCAACATTTTAATGAAATTTATTTACACGAGTTTTAAGTAATACACATAAGAGAAGGTTATGCCACTTGTCACCGTCATGTCTACCATAGGAATCTGTCATCTTGTAGTATAAAAGCGAGTTCTTTATTATATTCAGCGTAAAATTCATGGAGTATTGTTCTTGTAATATTCTTCATTGCCGGAGCACGTTTCTTAGACTTGGTTTCGTATCGTCTTTTCAGTTCTGTGAGATTGTCCATAGCCGTTTCATTCTGTGGAGCTGAAAATACATTCATTGTGATTATTTATACATATCCGAGTTTTAATTTGAGTTGGTCAATAGTTATATTTGTACATGTATCACGTAGCTGGTGAGTGGCTTGGGTTTAACGAAGCTGTGAACAGTAGCCCAGTTCCAAGCGTGTCAGCGTATTGTCAGAGACAAGCCTGGAGTGTTTCACGTTGGTGTAACTCATGACCCGGGTGATGGTGCTGACAAACCTACAGACATAATGAACCGGGATTCGAACCACCGATCACACGTTTCTGGTGTGTGCCAAGGACATCAACTCTGCACAGAGAATTGTGGCGCCTTAGACAACTGAACCATCCTCGAGCCTTAGGTATCATGTAGGTATCATGTTAGATATTATGTAGGCATCATGTAGGCATTATGTTAGGTATCATGTAGGTATCATATTAGGTATCATGTAGGTATTATATAGGTATCATGTAGGTATCATGTTTGGTATCATGTTAGGTATCATGTTTGGTATCATGTTAGGTATCATGTTTGGTATCATGTAGGTATCATGTTAGGTATCATGTTTGGTATCATGTAGGTATCATGTTAGGTATCATGTTTGGTATCATGTTTGTATCATGTTAGGTATCATGTTAGGTATCATGTTTGGTATCATGTTAGGTATCATGTTTGGTATCATGTAGGTATCATGTTTGGTATCATGTTAGGTATCATGTTTGGTATCATGTAGGTATCATGTTTGGTATCATGTTAGGTATCATGTTAGGTATCATGTTTGGTATCATGTTAGGTATCATGTTTGGTATCATGTTAGGTATCATGTAGGTATCATGTAGGTATCATGTTAGGTATCATGTTTGGTATCATGTTAGGTATCATGTTTGGTATCATGTAGGTATCATGTTTGGTATCATGTTAGGTATCATGTTTGGTATCATGTAGGTATCATGTTTGGTATCATGTTAGGTATCATGTTTGGTATCATGTTTGGTATCATGTTAGGTATCATGTTTGGTATCATGTAGGTATTATGTAGGTACTATGTTTGGTATATGTAGGTATTATGTAGGTATCATATTTGGTATCATGTAGGTATCATGTTTGTATTATGTAGGTATCATGTTTGGTATCATGTAGGTATCATGTTTGGTATCATGTAGGTATCATGTTTGGTATATGTAGGTATTATGTAGGTTTCATTTAGGTATCATGTTAGGTATCATGTAGGTACCATGCAGTATTATGTTCGCACCATGTTACATGTCATGTAGGTATCATGTTAGGTATCATGTTAGGTGAGTGATGAGTTTTACGCCGCTTCTAGCAATATTCCAGCAATATCTCGGCGAGGGACACCAGAAATGGGCTTCACACATTGTACCCATGTGGGAAATCGAACCCGGGTCTTCGGCCACCCCACCGCCCATGTATCATGTTAGGTATCATGTCGGTATCATGTAGATATCGTGCAGTATAATGTAGGTATCATGGTAAGCATAATGTTAGGTACCATGTAGGTATCATGTTAGGTATTATGTAGGTATCATGTAGGTATCATGCTAGGTATCATGCCACATACGTAGTACTAAAAGTTGAAGACGTCTCGGAGAGTCCCCAGTGCATCTATGTTGTAGTCCTCTGTCTTCAAGATGAGGAAGTCCTCTCGCGGAAAGACAGCAAGCCATTCTTCGAGAAACACCGAGTAACAGCCAATATGGAGTCGGGTCTGAAAGATGGATGACAAATATAAATGAATCGGGAAATAATAAATGAATCGGGCCGCTTTCGGTAGTATTTCAAATTATCAGATAAAAAGAGACAGAGATCGCGGGTGTTTGCAACTGGGTTCAACCAACGAGAACGTACACCATATCGTGCTGGCGGACAAGATAAAACATCAAGGTGACTCTGGATGGAGCCGACTTTTATAGTTGTGTACAGGATTGCCGTGTCATAGACGGCTGTGCCTAAACCCCGCTTCCCGCTTGAAAGTGAGTGTGTAGGTAACCTCCGTTTAACGCCGAACATTTTCAAGTTATACACATTCGTGAAAGCTCAATTTGGGAGTGCAGAATTGATGCGGTTCTCAGACATTTACCACTATGGTGATACTACCGAGCATAGACACCGAGTTGACAAACCTAGAAACCATTGAGGATGCCAGACCACAATATGCTAAGCTTCTGGCGTGCCTGATGGCGAACTACGGTGCTTCCGGTGTCTGGGCCACTCATACCCCTTCTATTACATGACGAGAGAACTAAAATGCTAGTGCCAAGTTACAATACTTACTGGTAACGAGAGGATGTGGATGTAATCATGATATTCGGTTCTAATAATCGTGTTATTATAAATTATACCTAAGATTTAAGGACCTGATGATTTACGTTTTTTCTGTGTATTAAGTTACTGGGACTGGAGAACATGGAAATATTATATAGGCGAATCTAGCGTTCGAACACAGGAATTTAACATTCTCATTAAATATATATACTACCTTTGCACAGCCATTAGTGGAGTCTCAGATGACTTGGCAACACATGCGGATAGAGAGGCTCTTACGGGTATAATTTGAGAATGGGTGGGTTGTGGACTCAATGGTGGCACGGATTATGTTTCTAGGCATGTGAACATTTATACTCGTGGGTTACACGCGGTGGTAAACTTGAGACACACATTACTTCGGGGTTTCCTCCCACGTTAAACAGACGCACCCTGATGTCATTGGAATATTGTTCACAGCGCTGTTATATGCAACTCACACACAGGTGTTATAAAAGAAAGTTCAAGAAATTAAATACCGGCAGTTGATGGTACATCTTCCAACTGAACATGCATGTTCTCAAAGAATTGTCCGGATGCAGTTCTCCATCATTCTGATGGAAAGGATAACATGGTCGTGGAATGATTCAGGCGAATGTCCATAATCCATGAAAAAGTAGTCCGAATATAACCTGAAAAACAAAATACAGTGAACCAGGATTGTGTGGACCCATCTTTTATCCGGAAACATCAGACTCTGGATATCCAGTTAGTTTTAAAGTCAGATAGACCGAGTATAATTAGAAAATAACAATGCCAATTTACAGTTAAATCCGGATTGTCCAGACCGTTAATCCCGACATATGAGGCTGGGAATGTATTGGTATATTTAAAGTCACTCAGCATCCACACTTTATGCAGATTTTGTCTAGATTAATGAAGTTCTTATTATATTTGATTTGTTAGGATTATTCGAACTATCAATATGCATTGCACTTGTCAATGACTCAATATCAATCTGTTGAATAAGGAGATAAACGTACTGTGTTGGAAAATCATAGGAATATAATGAAATTATAATAGCTTAAATAAAACATTTAGAGCGTTATTAAGATTATAAAAAAATACATACCATGTTTGAAAATCAGAGGTATAAAACGTGATTATATACCTCTGAATGACTTTGATTAACCAACCACAATCCAGTATTTACTGAAGTCATGGTAGAATATAGAACACCGTGTATGTGTCTTAGTTTGTCACAAAATTCTTCAAAGGAGGAGTAAGAGAGAGGTACTTCTCAAGCTATTGCAACACAATTTTACACAAGATTTACCTCAATTTACAACCAAAGGTATCGTCAGATTATAGTTAAATGTCCCTTCATAAACATCCGTAATGCTGTCACCAACATTGACAATATACCTGTCTATCGGATTCCTGAAGATTAGTAGGAATTTCATATGTTTATACACATGGCGCATTAAATGTGGAGTAAGAACTAAAGGTTCTTTAAGCCCTCTGTTCTGAGGGATTCTCGTCCATCCGCGGAAATCCCAGAAGTCCATCGGTGTTCCGTCCCCTAGTGAACAAAATGTAATTATAAATGTAAGCCAATAATTGAAACTCTCTAAGAACTAGAGATCTTGCCAAAGTGGGACAGGTGGCTCATATATAACAGTTCAAACAAGGAGGCGTGGAATTTTGAAATAGTTATTCCTTTACTTCATTGACATCTTGGCTTCAGTAATCCATGTTCTTTTAAATTGTATATCAATTACCCTATCTTATAATATGTCCTCTGAACTTCAGTGTAGATTGCTTCCCTTTGTTCTGCCAAACCCCAAATCACTCCGATTATGATCATTGGTCTGTCAGCTATATTTTCGTGCTTTACCAAAGGACAGAAGACTAGCCGTGCTTCTCTTACGATTATCAACACACTTATAAGAACAAAAACAAAAAGGGATTTTTACTTTTAACTGACTGACTGACTGAGTTTGGTTTTACGACGCTTTTAGCAATATTCCAGCAACATCACGGCGGGGGACACCAGAAATGGGCTTCACACATTGTACCCATGTGGGGATTCGAACCCGGGTCTTCGGCGTGACGACCACTAGGCTACCCCACTGCCCATGTATCATGTTAGGTATCATGTCGGTATCATGTAGATATCGTGCAGTATAATGTAGGTATCATGGTAAGCATCATGTTAGGTAACGCTTTAACCATTAGACTACCCCACCGCCCTTTTAGTTTTAAGCATCCAGCAACTAGTCATAAGCCAATAGTCAATATGTTCTATTTGATAACTCACCTACAATTTCAGAGTGAAAGCCATTGACTGTATGAGCTTTTATTTTAACAGATGCCTCTCTGAACACGTCGATGTAGTCAGAAAACGTTTGATGACGATCTGTCATTCTTTATGAGAGAAACCTGGAAAACATATTGGAAACAATACACATATTATGCAGACATTATCGTGATTTATCCAATACCATGCAGCTGTATTATAATTGTTCAAAGGTCAAATCTGAACTGTATTTTTAAACAAATTATAACTTGGCCAAATCCCACTGTCACAACTGGGAGCATGGATGGCCCAGTCGTACACGCCAGAAACCTATGCTCTTCAGTTCGAATCCAGTCTCTTGGGTTCCACCACGTGATATATGTGTGAGAGATTCATCACTTCGGGCCTCCTCACACATCGGCACGCCATGCAATAACTGAAATACTATTCAAAGCGGCGTTAAACCAACTCAGCCACTCTCTCCAAACTCAGCCTCTTACTCAATGTTCAAACAAGGATGATTTGAAGCACTATTCCATCACTGTTCCAGGAAATCTGTCTGTACTTTGCTCATACATGTAAATAGTTTCGTATTGTTTGTTTGCCTGTTGTTTAACGCCGCACTCAGCAATAATTCAGCTGTTTGAAAAAGTCTGGAACAGACAATCCAGTGATCAACATCATGAGCATCGATCTACGCAATTGGGGTACGATGACATATGGGTCAACCAAGACAGCGAGCCTGACCACCCGATCCCATTAGTCGCCTCACAAGTTTCGTATTGATCGTAAACACTTACGTAAGGTTCTATAAGAGAAGGTATGTCTGATCGCATCCTACATTAGCAGATTATGAGCCTAATGCGTCTCCAAATTTATGCGACTCAAACTGCTGTCTGCAATAAAACACCAAACTAGCGAGCAAATCGAACACATGGTTATGGATACAGGTTAAATTAGTTTGAGGAAATAAACATTTCATGGAAACCTTACAAGAATTATCACAAAGAGCTAATAACTGATTTCACTTAACATGCATTTCATGGCAGTGTGACCCGTGAAGGTCCGGGTTAGAATATTGATATTCAGTAACCCATGCTTGTCGTAAGAGGCGACTAACGGGATCGGGTGGTCAGGCTCGCTGACTTGATTGACTCGGTTCCCAGTTGTCAGGTCCAGACTCGATTATTTACAGACCGGCGCCATATAGCGGGAATATTGCTGATTTCGGCGTAAAACAAAACTCACTTACTCACTCATGGCAGTTTATCTTCACATTTGTCCTCATTATGCTGACTACTATGGACCACTTTAGTCAACATACCAAACATTACTTTAAATCATAAAATGATCGCGAAGAGTAGGAGAAACCCTATGTTCCAGTATATATTCTCATACCTATGACTTCTAACTGCAAATATCTAAAGTTGGCAATTCAGTAAACTCAGGTTATAACGATCTCAAATGGACCTCTGATTGTAGTTTGTTATAACCGTAGTAATTGTAATTTCGACTAAAAATATACAGCAAGTGACAGGGGCAAAATATGGTTGACACAGCCGCATTAATCGTCTTACGAGTAAATTGAACATGTAACCATGATTTCTTGAAAGTCATTTAGTCGTATTAATCGTCCTACGAGTAAATGGAACATGTATACATGGTTTTCAGTCATTTAGTCAGAAACCCATTCCTCTCTGTTTATTTCATCATCTGTTTCATTTACAGTCAGTTGCAAATATCGCATTTTATCAATACTATGTAAAATGGTCAACTGTACAGGCGCTTACTTAATACTTGACAGAGAGTAATTATACATGATCTTATCTTTTTCAAATATAAATGTTATCTAAGACTCTAAGAAATGAATAAATAACAATCATAATTGGAGATTATATTAGTCATCTTGTTAGAAAATAGAACCTGCTTTTTGTCGGCACACATTTACATTTAAAACAAGCAGGGGTCATATTATCGTCATCATTTAATTAAAGCACACTTTCGCCCTGAACTATTATCACGTTAGAGCACGAGGACGCAAGCGTCCTCGTGCTTTAACTATAATAGTTCAGGGCAAAAGTGTGCTTTATTACACTATACATGGTGGTAGAGCGAACTGTAGTTCTTTTCTAAGATGCCACATTTAATACTTTCTAAGGATAATTATGATTAATCTAAGGCAGAAAACAAACGACGGTGTCGGTGATCTAAATTTAATATCCTCGCACAGGGCTAACTGGCCTATTCTATTGATGTGTCTGTCCCCCTACGTTAGGACGAACGTTACCAGAAAAAAGAAATGATAAACAGTTTGATGACGGTTTACTTTCTGATTAAATATCTTCTCTAAATTATTTTAATTACATCTGTGATTAACGTAAACCATATGGGGCAATATGAACGTCGCATTTCTACGACCAACGTAAGTTTAGATCAGTACATCCAGATGAAGCTGAGTTGTCAAGCGACATTCCACGATTGCATTGTGGGGAATGTAAACATTGCGAACGTTACCGTGCCGCTGAAAACTTGTGAGTCGAATTGAGACAGTTTTTTAAACGTAGGAAAACATAAACGTAACGTTTCCACCAGTGATGTTAGCTGCGTGAAGCAACTGCAAACCAAGAAACGGGATGCAACGGAGTAGTTTACTGCAGGAGGCTGTGGCGATGCCAACTGACATGCATCGTGACGTCGGTTACATTGTGACGAAATGCAAAAGTGTTCGATTACGAGGGGGCAGACTAGAATGGCACAGTGACGCCAATACATTGTGACGTAATGCAAAAAGCGCACATTATCGTCTGATAAAGTACTGTCGGCGCCTTTGATCTTTCACCGAAGCATCTTAGAATCCTTACTTAAACCAATTGCTAACGGCTGAAGGGATGGTGTAAATCCAGCTAGGGTCCATGCAGGTAGCAAAGGTACTGTAAGTCCCCATGGTCCCTAGTATGGTGATCTACCTTCAGTTGCTGGCAATATATAGCCTGTTTTTTATATTGTATTGTCTTCTATGGTTAAAAGTTTTTAGTTTTTCACACTAGTTTTATATCTATATCTGTGATCCTCTAGGTAGTTTTCTGTCTTTCGTTGACAGGGTGTTATAATTTGACTTTATTTATTACGACTTTATTTATTATTCACATTCTTGTCACGATCTGGCTGCAATATTGCCGACGTGACGTTAACTTTAAACTCACTCACTCACTTACTTGAACCTTTTTATTTTTAAGCTGATTTACCCAGCCATAGATTAGTATCTCGAAGCGCAATCAATGATAGATACTTAGATATTATAGGATTTAACAATATATCTTGTGATCTTAAATTACATGAAATAACAAACTCATTTGCCCCTTGGTTTCATATTAAGACAGACGTTCATCGTCCGATAGAATCAGTTTCTTATGAAGACAGACGTTCATCGTCCAATAGAATCAGTTTTATGTAAAGGCAGACGATCATCGTCCAAAAGAATCAGTTTCATATAAAGACAGACGTTCATCGTCCAATAGAATCAGTTTCATATAAAGACAGACGTTCATCGTCCAATAGAATCAGTTTCATATAAAGACAGATGATCATCGTCCAATAGAATCAGTTTTATGTAAAGACAGACGTTCATCGTCCAAAAGAATCAGTTTCATATAAAGACAGACGTTCATCGTCCAATAGAATCAGTTTTATGTAAAGACAGACGTTCATCGTCCAAAAGAATCAGTTTCATATAAAGACAGACGTTCATCGTCCAATAGAATCAGTTTCGTATGAAGACAGACGTTCACCGTCCAATAGAATCAGTTTCATATAAAGACAGACGTTCATCGTCCAATAGAATCAGTTTCATATAAAGACAGACGTTCATCGTCCAATAGAATCAGTTTTATGTAAAGACAGACGTTCATCGTCCAAAAGAATCAGTTTCATATAAAGACAGACGTTCATCGTCCAAAAGAATCAGTTTCATATAAAGACAGACGTTTATCGTCCAAAAGAATCAGTTTTATGTAAAGACAGACGTTCATCGTCCAAAAGAATCAGTTTCATATAGAGACAGACGTTCATCGTCCAATAGAATCAGTTTCTTATGAAGACAGACGTTCATCGTCCAATAGAAACAGTTTTATGTAAAGACAGACGATCATCGTCCAATAGAAACAGTTTTATGTAAAGACAGACGATCATCGTCCAATAGAAACAGTTCATCGCATCAACGATACATAAGTCCCAATGCATTCACAGCAAATTTAAACCTACTACTATGCTTAATCGTAGTATATGTGTTATTGTAATCTATGGCTAGATTTATTTAAATTGCTAATGGCTGAAGGGATGGTGTAAATCCAGCTAGGGTCCGTGCAGGTAGCAAGAGTACTGTAAGTCCCCATGGTCCCTGGCATGGTGATCTAACTTCAGTTGTTGGCAATACATATATTGTGTTGTCTTCTATAGTTAAAAGTTTTTAGTTTTTCACACTAGTTTTATATCTATATCTGTGATCCTCTAGGTAGTTTTCTGTCTTTCGTTGACAGGGTTTTATAATTTAACTTTATTTATTACGACTTTATCTATTATTCACATTCTTGTCACGATCTGGCTGAAATATTGCCGACGTGACGTTAAATTTAAACTAAAGTTAAAGTATTTTAGTGTTAATTACTAGTTTTAGATTGAAATGTGTGATATACTAGTTGTTTTACTGTCTTTTGCTGACAGGTTTTTACAATTTACCTTTATTCATTGCAAAATTATAACTTGTTTGTAGTCACGATATGGCTGAAATATTGCCGATGTGACTCACTCACTCGCATCAACGACACCACGTATATGGTTGATATTAACCCTGTGGCGACACTATCTGTTTAACCATTTTCATAAATTGTATCTTTTCATGAGGAATACCTTGGTGGATGGGAGCCCTAATATAGTATATTGCAATTGTTTTTGACAAGAGAAAAAACGAAGCGTTACCATAGCGACGCCAGCTCCAGTAGCTGGACTCCTTCCCAAGAGTACATGTACACGTCTGTACATCCGGGTGATGAGTAATTCTGTTGAACAGATCAGTAGATCCGCATTTATCGGATCCAATGAGATGGAAATACGGGAGGCATTGGATAGTATTGTTCCGGTCCTTCCAGCACGGGTTCTTGTAGTCTGAGAGCAGTGATGGCCTGTTCTGAAAGGAAACATATATTGTCAACAAACATCTTGTTTCTAAACCGTGTAAGTGACGACGAATGACTCGTGCCTTTTCATCATTTCTATAAAGCACGATAAAAAATCTTTCTAACAGATCTGTTTTCTGGTATTCTCGTTATTTTGAGCCAATATTTCATTGTTTCATAGTAGCAGTGTACAGATGAAACGGACCGCACTCAAAACAGATTACCCATAAGTGAGTGAGTGAGTTTAGTTTTACGCCGCACTCGGCAATATTCCAGCTATATGGCGGCGGTCTGTAATGATCGGATCTGGACCAGACAAGCCGGTGATCAACAACATGAGCATCGATCTACCCAATTGGGATACGATGACATGATTGTGTCAGCCAAGTCAGCTATAGTCAGATAGTTTGCAGGCGATTAACAATCGCAATACTGACCATCACTGAAATGCCATGTAAATGTGCCCGTGGCTGGCATGGACATCCCTTTTTGTTGGCTACCAAATCACGTTGGTATCTTGGGAAACTCAAAAGCAGATTCCGCAGCTAAATCTGCTCTTGAGAAGTCAATGTCAAGCATTAGTAAGTGAGTTTAGATTTACGCCGCACTCGGCAATATTCCAGCTATATGGCGGCGGTCTGTAATGATCGGATCTGGACCAGACAAGCCAGGAATCATAGCATAAGCATCGATCTACCCAATTTGGATACGATGACATGATTGTGTCAGCCAAGTCAGCGAGCCTGACCACCCGATCCCGTTAACCGTCTTTTACGACAAGCATGGGTTACTGAAAATCAATTCTAACCCGGATCTTCACGGGTTTCACCCATAAGTTGTATTGAATACATTTGATAAAGTTTCATAAGAAAGCAAGTTATTTTCTCAAAACAAGAATTAAGATGACCACTATTGAAAGACAATTACGACGTTGTGTTAGCAAAATACACAAGTGGTCACTAGAAAACGGATTTAAATTATTCGAACATGTATACATTCACTTTTGTAATAAACACAAACTACAACACGATCCAATGTTAGTCCTATGGAACCTCCAATAGAACGGTCTGTGACAATAAAATGTGTTGTATTCCTCATACATATAATGTTTAATTTAAATTCTTAAAAACTCTTGATATACGAAAGGTAGTTTCAAATGCTAAATGGGGTGGGGACAAACACGGCTCTATATCAACAGAACATTAAATACATCTCAACTTGACTATGGTTGTTTTATATATGGTATAACGCGTATATTCAAGAACTTGACACCATTCATCATCAAGGTTTTGTGTCCAGGTGCATTTTAAATTTTAAACACTGTGTGGCTGATGAGCTGTGTCATTATCTCCAACGCATAAAACAGCCATTACAACAGGTTACTAAACTTCATTCCGATCCATCAGATAAATGCATCTAAGGCTATTTTTATACTAACTTTTCAGACCTTGTATGGTAAGAAAACTAACCCATTTGTTTCACATTGAGTCCGTATTCAACAACTCAGAACTGATGTAAATTGAGGACAGCGGCAGTCAATACAGCATGGTGTCAATTTGAAATTAACGTAATTGATACTACCCCCATATCATATTAACAAGACATCTTTGAAATTAATTCAAAACATAGACATATCGGTTATACATGTTAATGGATTTAACAACAGAGACAATATGTCAGCTGCAGCTACAGCTATCTGATGGAAGTTCCTAAGGTTACAACTTTATGGACACCAACGTCTTGTTATAATGAAGCATACAACTTTATGGATAATAGCTCCTTGTTTATAATGAAGCATACAACTTTATGGATAATAGCTCCTTGTTTATAATGAAGCATACAACTTTATGGATAATAGCTCCTTGTTTATAATGAAGCATACAACTTTATGGATAACAGCTCCTTGTTTATAATTAAGCATACAACTCTATTGATAACAGCTCCTTGTTATAATGAAGCATACAATTATATGGATAACAACTTCTTGTTTATCATAAAAGTACATTTTTCTGGATAGCAACTTTTTATTAATAATGCAGCATACAACTTTATGGATAATAGCTCCTTGTTTATAATGAAGCATACAACTTTATGGATAATAGCTCCTTGTTTATAATGTAGCATACAACTTTATGGATAACAGCTCCTTGTTTATAATGAAGCATACAACTTTATGGATAATAGCTCCTTGTTTATAATGAAGCATACAACTCTATGGATAACAGCTCCTTGTTATAATGAAGCATACAATTATATGGATAACAACTTCTTGTTTATCATAAAAGTACAACTTTCTGGATAACAACTTCTTATTAATAATGTACCATACAACTTTATGGATAACAGCTCCTTGTTTATATTGAAGCTTACAACTTTAATGATAACAACCTCTTGTTAATAATGTAGCATACAACTTTATGGGTAACATCTCCTTATTTATATTGAAGCTTACAACTTTAATGATAACAACCTCTTGTTAATAATGTAGCATACAACTTTATGGATAACAGCTCCTTGTTTATATTGAAGCTTACAACTTTAATGATAACATTGGTTAATAATGAAGCCTACATCTTTATGGATAACTTCTTGTTCATTGCATAGAACGACCTTTCGAAATAGATTCTTGCACCGTTATCAGGCTAAAAGTGACTACGACCAAGTGATCAGAAGCATATATGCATATTATGTTATGATATTAACAACAACATGTAATTGGCAAACACTTGGTATGTAACAGGATGGGCTGGGAGTAAGAAGAGCAAATTGCACCAGTCATGAAGCCAGCATACACGAGGGATTAAGTAGTAAAGACGAGCTGATAGGGTCCTACCTGAGAATCTACAACTCGATTCAATGTTAATGTGCTGACTTTTATACAAGTGAAACCTTCTGTCCCGGAGATAACCGTATAAGGAGCATAAAACATCAACGCTTTATTCACTAGGCTACCCCACCGCTGTGTATATATAAGAACATCCACTCTGAAAATGAAGAATTCTGGTATCAATTCATATGGTCAAACTGACGTTCTTGTTTTGAGTGATTTTACAGCACTTTCTACTTTATCTTTCACTGCCAGAGTTTAGAATTTACAACAAGTGGAAATGCAACTTGTGTCTGTTAGTATTTCAAACAGTATGGCTGAAAAACCAAATGATAGACTCTGAACAGAAGTATCAATTTCATTATCAACATGGCCTATGACCAACATTTCCATAAACCTCAAGACACCTTTAACGGTTATATCTTTATCGAAAACGAATGCCACCAAATGATTTGTAAAATATTTTATCTTTATCCAGTTAGTGGTGTGTGACATGTGGCAAGTTGGTCAGCATGCAACAGGAGAACATCCTATACCTACCTACCTACCTACCTACCTACCTACCTATTCTACCACCTAAATCTAAACGTTCGAGTTTGCACAGAATCAATGTGTTTGGGTAGCGTTTTGTTAATATGTAGAATTCCTCAACAAGAGCATTGCTGCACAGCTCAGCACAGCATGGCACAGCACAGCACAACACGCCACAGCACAGAATAGTTATTTCTAAGATGCCTAGATGTTAGAACAATCGAAAAAAAAATACATTATGAGACAATAAAGGTATAGTTTTTTGATGACGTAACAATTGAATGACGTTATCCCGTCACTGCGCCATTCTAGTGTGCCCCCTCGTAATCGAATTATTTTACATTACGTCACAATGTAAGTGACGTCACGATGCATGTCAGTTGTCATCGCCTCGTACGGCCTCCTACAGTAAACTACTCCGTTGCATATCCTAATCCTAACCTAAATCGCATAGTTTCGTTGTGGGACTTTAACCTCTCACTCTGACCTCCATTACATTGCTCAGTGGAATACCAATGTAGATCTTTTGACTGTTAGCCCACCAATTGAGACAGAAATGCACAATTTCGGATAGAATTAGCGTCCATGCGGAACCACCTGTTTACGACCACTGTATCCCCAAAAGAGCACAGGGATGAAATGAGACTGATAACGTATATATGTATCTATAACTTACACTGTCTGTCACCACGGAACTGACCGGTTCCAACCTCAGTTGTACGACAGACACATAAGTAACTAAGTTTCTGCGCAATTGTCCACTGTACTCAACATACACTAAACAAAGTTTAACTGGAATATTTCAAACAATACGAAAACAGGACACTTGTAATCTGTAACGTCGGTATGTGATATATACTTAAATAGTTCTGTTTTGCTATACATATGGAAATTCATTCCCCAACACCCTTTTTTTCAGACTTAGCAGCTTTAATTAACTGGTGCATAAAATGTCTCAAAGATTTCCATACCATATAACTTTGCTGTGGAATGAAAGAATTCAGGAGAAATATAGCCAACATTGCCATGGCATAATCTGGTTAGTTCATGCAAAACTATATCTTGCACAGACTTAAAGAACAAATAAACTTCTTTTTTTGTCTCTTTTAACCATTACATATAAAAGATTCTTTAAAAACTTGTAGTTAATTAATACCGAACGATTAAAAGTTGCAAAAAGGTCGCTTGCTTCACTCTCACCCGCCAACGAAACCACAGACAGGTTACGTAAATCTGTCGCCAGAGCACTGCAGTGACGTCATGTGAGGAAGGCTTTTCAGTTAGTTGTATATAAAGTAATCATTTTTATGATTTCTCGACATCAACGAAGACATGCGTTGTCGTCAACTGCTCCTAACCCGTCGGCCTATGGTGTCAACATGCACAGATTTCCACAGGGCCCGGCAGTATAAGAAATAATGTATAAATAAATACATAATATATAAATGAGTTGAATGTCATCACGGTGTATAATAATAAATTGTTACAGAAATCAACAACTGCTCGAACGTACTGGCGCTGCAGTGTCAGGAACAAGACGACCACGTGTCCTGCATCTGTTATTCAGTTTCTGGGGCTTCATTTGAAGAGGAGAAACACCGCCATTGCCATACACCCCAACCAGGCCAGTTGACAGCAATCCAAGTGAGTGTG